GGAGAGTAGTAGTAGTCGTAGTCGTAGTCGTAGTAGTAGTAGTAGTAGTAGTAGGAGGAGGAGGAGGAGGAGGAGGAGGAGGAAGAGGAGGAAGAGGAGGAGGAAGAAGAGGAACCCTCCGCTGCGCGCCGCCGCCGAGACAGGGGGCCACGCCGAGCGGCCCCCGAGCGCCCGCCCTCAGCCCAGCGCCGCCCGCCCCGGCCGGCTGGCGCTGGCGGTGCGGGCGAGCCGCGCGGGGACGACGTCGAGCCCGACGGGGTCCGCGGGCCTCCAGCTCGGAGGAGGCGGCGAGCAAAAGCCAGGCAAGACGCGGCCCTCGCGCTGCCATGCAGTCGGGGCGTTGACCTAAGGAACCCCAAATTTGGAAAAACCTGAGGCGAGCAACTACAAGGAACACTGGGCACTTCCCAAACGAAAAGAGTTCCTTCTTCAGCCCCCCGACTGTAAGGAGCGCCGAACGAGGAGCGAGGAGACGTTCATGGCCGGGGGCTCTCATGGCCACAGAGGGCAGAGGGAGCGAAGGAACGCCGAATAAGGACCACAGAGCAGCAAAGAACATCACAGCCGCCATGTGTCTGAGCTCCGCGCGGACTTCTTGGAGCGGCGCTGGGCCCCCCCTGGCGGCGCCTCCAGCGCCACCTCCGGCGCGCGGAGGTCCAGCGCCAACCCGAGAACTCCATGCAGAGCTCCAAGAGTTTACGCTTGTGCCGTTCGAACTCTTCGAAGGGCGGCGAGCAGGCCATCGGAGGCGCGCCCATGGGGGGAGGCAGCGGGGGCGGGCCCTCCTCAGGGGGCTCGTGAGCCCCCCAGCCTCCTGAAAAGCTCCCTGAGCCTCCTCCGACGCCACGCCGCCTCCTGAGGAGGCCTGCCCACTCTCACTTCCTCCTCCTCCTCCTCCTCCTGCTCCTCCTCCTGCTCCTGCTCCTCCTCCTCCTCCTCCTCCTCCTGCCCCCTCTCACTTCCCCCCTCGGCGCGCCGCCGAAGCTAAACAAGAGATCTGTGGAACGCCCTGCGCACCAGGGGCAGCAGCAACCTCGGACAGCAAGGCAGGCAGAATGGGCCAGAACGCTTGACCTCATCTCTGCGGGTGACCGACCTTCCGAGCCGGATCGATCTGCAAGTCCCGGGGGCCAGGAAAGGACGAAAACGTCCATCGCAATCTCCTGGCGACGCGGGGGATGTCTAGAGGAAGAAAACAACTGCATATACAACAACTGCTAGAGGTCCACGCGGATCTCCTAGATCGGCGCGAGAGGCGGCGCCAAGGGAATCCGGCGCCGATCCAAGAAATCCGCGCGGCCCTCCGAAAGTTGATGGTTATGCCGTCTTCTGTTATTCGAAGGTCGAGGAAGCCCGAAGGCGACAAGTCCGACGGGTGGCGGCGGCTGTCTCAGACCGCAGGATAGGCGGCGTCGGCAAGAATGCCGCACATGCCGCACACGGTGACCTGACTCGGGCCACCGTCGCATCCGACGCCCTGTTGCGGGTCGCTGTCGACGCCGCAGTGGGAGTCGTCGCCTTCGCCGCCGTAGCGGAACAGCCGGATGAAGCCGCGCTCGCCCCAGCCTGCGATCAACAAATTTCATAAACATGAACTTTCGGAGGTCCGCGCAGATGTATTGGATATTAGGTCTATGTTGTCTGTTCTTTTTCGATGCCCCTCGGATCAAGAACCTCTCGACCGAACATTCGACGCCCACCACTCCTTCCCCCCAGAAGAAAAAATTAGACTTCTGTGAAGTCGTTGCCTTCAAAACGTGTTTGCCTTCAAGGGCTTGCTTACATCCAGTGAAACACGTTTCTCTGCAGCGAGCTCCTGCCCCCCCTCCCCTCCTTCCCTCGCGATACGGAACGCATGCCAGGTGGCATCTGCCACCTCCCTTGCCGCGAAGCGTCTGGAAGCGGACTGGCCTATCAGGATCTGGGGGGCCCTGCAGCCCCTGCGGGCTGTCAGGTGCAGGCTTGATCCCAAGCTGCGGCTGGACCCTGAAATCAGAGGCGGTGCCACTTGGACCCTTGCTCGTCGTCCTCTGGTTTGTCCCCACACGATGGAAGTTCAATTCTCCAGGCACTGCTTGTATTTCGGGCTTCCTGCCCCCAAAGGAGTTGGGGTTTCATGTTGCGACGTCAAACTTCCGCGTTTGATGCCAGCATTTTCACTGTTTCTGGTTGCAGCCATGGTGACCTGGGGCGGTGCCCTATGGGCGGTGTCATGTGGCTGGCGCCCCGTGATGCCCCAAACTTCGCGTTTCGTGGTTGCCGCCCTGCTGCCTTTTTGGTGGCGTCCCATGGCTGATCCGCCCCCTGCCTCTTGGCACCGAATGGGCGTGTCCTCAGGTCCTTTACCTAATCCCTGGGGCCTCAGCTCTCAGTCCCGAAGAATCTTCAAGGGGTCCAGACCAGACATTCCGAAATCTCTTGGGGCCTGTCGCGTCATGTCGCAAAGAGAGCCTCAAGAGGCCCCCAAACGGTTCAAGAAGGCCCCGAGGGCGCCCAAAGA